CCGCGGCCGTCTCCAGGGCTGCGCGCACGGAGCGGGACAGGTCGCCCCCGGGGGTGCGACCTGGGACAGGCGGCCGCCAGCCGCCGGGACCGCCATCAGTTACGTAACGAGCGGCAACTTGTCGAGCCGCGACCCGCTCCGAGACGCGTCGTCCGGCGGAGATTTACTGCGGGGGGCGGAGGTCCGGGACGGTGGCGATCGCTGCCCAAGAGTGTGTGGGTGGCGGCCAGAGAGACACCGAGCTGCAGACCAGGGGTGTGGCTCCTGCCCCGACCACAGGTCGGGACGGTGTCGGCCTGGCCTGGACCGACGCAGCGCCGTGAGTTGAACTCGATCTGAGCCGTGCCAGTGCTGGCCGGCGTGGGAGGAGCAGCTCGCTAGCCATCCTTTACGCGCAGTAGCCTAAATGAGGGACGCCTCTTCGTCGCAAGCGATATGGCACGTACCGCCTCTACGCTCGCCTTCCGCCCGCTCCTGGAGCAAATCTAATCAGGCGGACTCCTCTGGCGGTCGGACCAGTGTTACCATTATGGACGCAACGTGAGGCCGTACCAGCAGCGGCTGAGAGACGGCGTCCATGTTCGCCGCCGGAAACCCGGGCCGGCTGCTCGCTCCCGGCGGAGCCGACGAGAGTTGCAGGCCAATCTTGACTGGCTTCATTTCGCCTGGTTTATGAGCCGACAGTGGAGGACCTCCGCGTCATCAATCGATTAATCTCTCTCTATCTCGTCTCTCTCTCTCTCTCTCTCTCTCTCTCTCTCCTCTCTCTCTCTCTCTCTCTCTCGTTCTTGTATCTGCTATGTCTCTGTCTCTGTCTCTGTCTCTGTCTCTGTCTCGTCTCTGTCTTGTATATGTCTTCTGTACTCTAGTCTCTGTCTCTGTCTGTCTCTGTCTCTGTCTATGTCTCTGTCTCTGGTCTCTGTCCTGTCTCTGTCTCTGTCTCTGTCTCTGTCTCTGTCTCTGTCTATTGTCATGTCTCTGTCTCATTGGTCTTGTCTCTGGCTCTGTCTCTGTCTATGTCTCTGTCTCTGTCTCTGCTTGTCTGTCTCTGTCTCTGCCTTCTGTCTCGGTCTCTGTCGCTGTCTCTGTCTCTCTCTGTCTCTGTGGTCTCTCTGTCTCTGTCTCTGTCTCTCTGGTCTCTGTCCTGTATCTGTATCTGTCTCTGTCTCTGTCTCTGTCTCTGTCTGTCTCTGTCGTCTGTCTCTGTCTCTGTCTCGTTCTGTCTATGTCTATGTCTCTGTCTCTTGTCTCTGTAGGTCTGTATCGTCTCTGTCTATGTCTCTGTCTAGGTGTCTATGTCTCTGTCTGTATATGTCTATGTCTCGTCTCTGTCTCTGTCTCTTCTTGTCTCTGTATCTGTTCGTCTCTGTCTCTGTTCTGTCTTGGTCTGTCTTTCTCTGTCTCTGTCTTGTCTCGTCTCTGTCTCTGTATCTTGTCTCTGTTCTGTCTTGTCTGTCTCTGTCTCTGTCTCTGTCTCTGTCTCTGTCTCTGTTCTGTATCTGTCTATGTCTCTGTTCTGTCTCGTCTCTGTCTTGTCTCTGTCTGTCTCTGTTCTCTGTCTCTGTCTCTGTCTCTGTCTCTGTCTATGTCTATGTCTTCTGTCTATGTCTCTGTCTCTGTCTATGTCTCTGTCTCTGTCTCGTCTCTGTCTCTGTATCTGTCTCTATGTCTCTTGTATCTGTACTCTGTCTCTGTCTCTGTCTCTGTAGTCTCTGCTCTGTCTCTGTCTCTGTCTATGCTCTGTCTCTGTCACGGCTCTGTCTCTGTCTCTGTCTCTGTCTCGTCTCTGTCTCTGTCTCTGTATCTGTCTCTGTCTATGTCTCGTATCTGTTCTCCTTTATCTGTCTTTCTGTCTCTGTCTCTGTCTTGTCTCTGTCTTGTCTCTGTCTCTGTCTAGTCTCTGTCTCTGTCTCTGTCTCTGTCTCTGTCTCTTTGTCTATGTATCTGTCTATGTATGTCTATGTCTCCGAGTCACTCTGTCTCTGCTCTGTCTCTGGCTCTGTATCTGTCTATGTCTCTGTCTTGTCTCTGTCTTGTTCTTCTCTGTCTCTGTCTCTGTCTCTTCTCTCTCTGTCTCTGTCTCTTCTCTCTCTCTCTCTTCTCTCTCTCTCTCTCTCTCTTCTCTCTCTCTCCTCTCTCTCTTCTCTCTTCTCCTTTCTTCTTCCCTTATTTACTGCTCTTTTCTCTTCTCATTCATCTACTCCTTCTTTCTTTTTCTCTATCCAATCTCTCTCTCTTCTCTTTCTCTATTCTCTATCCTGTCCTCTATCTCTCTTCTCTCTCTCTATCTTGATCTCTCTCTTCTCTCTCTCTCTCTCTCTCTCTCTCTCTCTCCTCTCTCTCTCTCTCTCTTTCTTCTCTCTACTCTCTCTCTCTCCTTCGGCCCTTGTCTTGGTCTTGGTCTTGGTCTTGGTCTTGGTTCTATCGTTGGGAGAGAGGCGTCGTGTGAGCGGCTCTGGGTTCACGCCAGCGTGGCTGTGCAGCGTGATCCGTTGGAGAGGACTCGCTGTCCGTTGGAGAGGACTCTTGACAGTCGCAGTGTCGGCCTCGCAGTCTTCAGTCGTGTCAGCTGTCTGGCTGTGTTTTGCGCTTGGTCCGATTCGCCGTGACCCCGTCCGCACGGGTTTCCGTGGGTTGGACATGTGTGCGTGACGTGCGTGTAGTGCACCACCGCGCCCAGACTGGTCGTCTCCCTCCTTTACGTGATCGGTGTTTGCGGTGACTGAAACCAGCGCTTCCCTTTCTCTCATGCGTATTTGGGACGGCTGCCTTTATTGGCTCGAATGTGCTTGCGCCCACCGTGTTTGGCGCTCCGCACCTCGCCAGGATAGAAATTTGGCCAGTACGGAGTGTAAAACTAAGTAGAAACTATCGTGGTATTCGAGCAGATGTGGAAGTCGTAAAGCTTTCTTAAAAAGACCGTGGTAAGTAAAATTACCCAGTAAGCAATCATGAACACATCTGGTTCACCAAGCCCTTGCAACAAAGGATTCAGGCGTGCCCAACGGTCACAAAAGATTACACGTCCACACTCGTATTGCTGACCTGAAAGGTGGCAACCTAACGGGTCTTTTGATGTTAGTTACTGTGCGTTGGTGTTGTTAGTTTTGTGCGGTGGTCTTGGTTTTGGTTGTGTCTCGTTTGGACTCCCTCCTGATCTGATCCACGTGCGCCGCTGACCCGCCGCGCGCGCTCCTGTCCTCCGCAGGTGACCCGGGAGCAGTACGAGATCTACTGCGAGATGGGCAGCACGTTCGAGCTGTGCAAGATCTGCGCCGAGAACGACAAGGACATCAAGATCGAGCCGTGCGGCCACCTGCTCTGCACGCCCTGCCTCAGCTCCTGGCAGGTGCGTCGGCAGCGCACGTCGCTCCCGCGGGGTCCGGCCGCGCATTCGGCCGCCGAGCGGCCGTTCTATTGGTGGGAAGACGAAGGGAGGTGTCTGAATGCCGTGTGAAGGGACGGATACGAGACGGATGAGTCGGTGCTGTGATCGTTCGTCGTACTTTGTTTTAGTTGAGTTGTGAAAGGAAATGAATTGTCTAAACTTTTTGAAATGTCGTCGGATGGCTGCGCCGTCATAGATAGGATTAGCTATATTCGGTGCTGTATATCTTTCAACTGGGTTAACGTCCGGTCACAGATGATTTCCGTTGGGAATGATGGGCTAGCCAACCATGCATCGAAAGCTTTAATCCCGCGCGAGACAAGACCTCTTCCGCTCCAATGTTGTCCTGTCCTGGTTTTGTCTTCTTAACATATTTCATAGTCGGCGTCAGGGGATCTTGGGGGTGAATTGTCGCCTCACAGCGTCCCGCGCCGTACACCAGTACAGTGTGAATGGACAACAAGGGTGGCACGTAGGACTGCCCGGGTGCCTGGATACATTGCGGCTAAGCTTCTTCACCCCCGCACTAAACGACATGGGCAGACGTCGTGGTCCGTCGTGCGCTGGCAGTATTGTCACGGCCTGTCAGCGGAACTGACCCCGATGATCCGCGTCCCGCCTCGTCCCTCGTGCGAGGGCAGGCTGCCCCTCGTGCTGGCGGCGGGGAGGGGCCCCACCCCCACCGCGGTGCCGGTGTCGGCTGCCGTGTGTCGCCGCCGCCGCCGGGCACGGCCGTGTTTCCGGCTTCTCTCCGCTGGCGGCGGGCGGCTGCGACCCTGATCGATGTTTACCCGTCGCCTAGCAACGCCGTGCGTCACGGCTGCCTGCGGGCAAGGTCGCGCGACCCGTGACCTCTAGCGGGGCTGGGGCGGCGGGCCGCTGTGCTCTGGTGAAATCTGAGGGTGGGTTGTTGGACTGTTACGTCGCGGCGGACGGGGCAGGCAGGGTTAGGAGTGCTTAGATAACCCGGGAGGGGGTGGGTGGTAGGGGGAGGGGGAGTGGACTGGCGTGGGTGGAAGCTTCCGGTGCCCTGCGTTATGAGCAAGAGCAAGTTATTACAGGGGCGGGAGGCGGCAACTGATGTGTGCCTCGGTACCCGACCGTGGTGCCGTGGTATATATGTGTTTGTTCGGCTCCAGCAGCGGGCTCATCACTTCATCGGCCGCGTGACATTTTGACCCGGATTTCAGAGAGAGACGTATTTCACTCGTCAGATCGGAACAAGTGGCGGTATAAGGCTCCACGTTGTGTGGCTATACCAGTGAAATGCGTTGGTGCGCAACCTGTCGATTAAGCTTTACAAGCAGACAAAGCCGAGGCTTGGAAAATTCCTTTCAGAAACGGTGCGTAACTAGGCCCGTCTGTCCCCTCCGAATGAAGCCGACACGCCATTTTCAAGCGCGGTGCCCAGCAGGCCACGGGACGTCGTGATTTGTTAGAGACGCGGCTGTGGACGTGTCGCTCGAGCGCCACGCTGCCGTAACGTGTGCGGGGGGAAGTGGCAGCGGGCACCCCGGGGAACTGACCGCGAGCCGGTGAATGGCGGTGTGCGCCGCTGGCATCGATTTCAGCCCCCGGGCCGCCTAAGTGCTTCGGGCAGGGGGCCCGTCGGCTAAACCACTTTAGCTTCGTCGTTTAAAAGATCTCCCAGCACGCCTGGAGCGTGCCTTCGCCCGTGCTCAGGGTCGCGGTGGTATCGCTGAATTCTCGCGGGCGTTTTCTTCGCTGAACTATTTCGGCAGAGGTGAGCCGGCGCCGCCGTCTAGGTCGTGCTCGGACGGTTACGGCCGAAGTCGCTGTGTAAATTGGCTTATCACAGAGCTGTTCCGTGCAGCAGGAACCCGTACTTGTGTGACGTCTTAGCTGTAATAGGCCTGGTCGTGTCAACTCCTGTCGTGTTGACGCTCGTGTTCGCCACTGCATGGCGTTGGGGGGGGGGGGGGGTTCGCTTCCGGCAGCGACTTGGCCAGCGTGTGTTAACGATCCCGTGGGAACCGATTCGACTGATCGCGTAGAGCAGGCTTCGGCTTCGGTTGTGCCTGAGGATGTAAACATGGAGCACGCAAACACCTTTGGTGTCTGCGTGGTGCATTTTTTAAGTTCTTCGATTTTCGACCCGGCGGTATATTTCAGCAGTGTCATGTGTATGTTGGCAATGTTTTGGTTTGCATTCGCTGGCGGACAGCGGAGGCGGCTCGCATGGGACCGTCGTCACGGCCGTCGTGTCGTGATCCCCTGGTTGCTGTTTCATCAGAATTGTTTGATTATATTTTGCCGCCGCATGTCACTGCTTTGCTTATTAGGGTCGTCGTTGGACCATGTCAACTTGGTCCAACTGTGCCGAGCAGTGTGGCAGGCCGAGCGGCGACCGTCTCTCCGTGTCTGACGCCGCGCTCTGTCGCTCCGTGGCGCCTCCGCAGGACTCGGACGGCCAGGGCTGCCCGTCTGTCGTGCCGAGATCCGCGGCACCGAGCAGATCGTGGTGGACGCGTTCGAGCCGGGCCGGCCGGGGCCGCGCGTGCGCTGCGTGCGCCGCGAGTACCCGCCTCCGCGACCGCCGCCTCCGCCGCCGCTGCCGCCCAGCATCCACAGTCCGGCTGAGGTACGCGTGCGGGTGGCGCCGCCCGCCGTCGGCGGGGCGAAATTGAAGTTCCCCTCGTGGCCGCAGCATGTGTGGCGGCGCACTGGCCGGGCGGTGCGGGAGGACCGAAGCGAGTGGCAGTCTGCTGCTGCTGCAGCTGCATGGGGCCTCGGTGCTGCTGTTACCAGACGCGTGCAGTGGGACCAGACCAGTGGGACAGCAGGACATGGGACCGGGGGCTGAAGGTTCGCGTCGACACGTTGCTAGTGCCGCCGGCCGAGCCTTGGCTGCCCCTCGCCGTCGCCGCTGCTTTGTTTGGCCCGCTCCGGACGGTAGAACCTTGGCGCAGACTTGCATGAGTTAGCAGACGTGTCTGATGTTGCCGCGATCGCATCTCCGTCGCATCAATACCGCCTGGGTGCCGGCTGACGGCGGGTCGTTTGACGGCCGTGCGGGCCGTTGGCGGTGTGCCGGTGACTGTGGACCACTCCCGCGTGGTCTGCTGCTCAGTCGGCCTGCTCCTCTCCCAGCCGCCGCACGTGGGCGACCGCTGCCCAGATAACGCTTCGTAAAATCGCCCGGTCGCCTGTGCCAATGAACGTGTGTTGCCCCGTGCAGAGTCATGCCGGGGTCGCTGGTGCATCCCGCCCGTGATACGGCGAGCCCGTGTGCGTAGCTGGCACCCATGCTGTAGCTAGTGCGAGCGCGGAGGGCAGCCCGGCTGTTGTGTAGGCGCGCGTGTCCGGCGCTGTCGCCTGCGTAGAGCACGCCCCCGATCGTGTGTCGCTTTCCGGGCAGCCGGGTGCCCGCTAGCCCGCCTGTGCCTGCTGCCCCGGCACCGGCGCCGGCGCTGGCGCCGCTAACCCTGGCCAGCGCCGGCCGACGACGGCCCCGCCGGCGGCCGGCCGACCGCCCGCATGGCAGGTGGGTACCGCGCCGCTGCCGCGCGCATGCGCTGGCCGGCTGGTCTGGTGCCCAGGCCCCTCCTCGCTCGGTGTCACCCGCATCGACAGAGGCTTTCGTTCCCCGGCTCGCGCCTGGGATCTTCGGGCCCGTGTTCTGTTTCTCTTTTCGCTCGTGATCCCCCTTTCCTCATTGTCTCCATTTTCCCGATTCATTTTCTTTTTTCCCTTTTCCCGTTAGTCGCTTCTCTCTTTGGCTGTCTTTGTCTTCCTTGTTTACCCCCTCATTTCGCTTGACCATCACTGTTCGCCCCCCCCCCCCTCGTCCGCATTCCCTCGCCCCCTTTATTTTGTGCCTGTCTGTATTCCTCTGGGCCTCTGTCCTCTGTCTTCCCACTCGCTTTCCTAACCTTACGTTCACTAACCCATGTGCTCCATAGCCGGGGGATAACGCCGCTGTGTGAATGCCATTAACCTAATAACCAGACGAGAACGCACTCGGTCATTGCCAGCTGACTGTACGGAACCGACGCAGTCCGTCTCAGCGCTGTGACGTAACGCCGGTCGCAGCCGGACGAGCGTATGTGTGTGGGTGTGTGGGTGTGTATGGTGGGCGGGGGCCGGGTGACGGCGCGGCTGTCCGCTGAGCGCGCCCTCCTGCCCAGAGCGACGACGAGCCCTCGGTGCCACTGTACCCGTTCCTGGAGGCGCGCTCCTCCCGGCTGGCCGACGTGGGCCGGCTGCCGGCGCCGCCGCTGCCGCCGCGGCCCGGCCTCGTCCGCTCGCGCAGGTCAGTGGCGCCGCGTGGGCTGCAGCCCGGCCCGGCCCGCGCCGACGCCACACCCGGTTACGGATCTTGCAGGGCCGGGAGTGGGGCCGGTAGCAGAAGCGGCAGGTGTTTCACGTTTGGTAGTACAAGTGCGATGTGTGGAGGGTATCACTGGTGTCTTATCTCGGGCTGTTTGGCTTCATTACGTGTATCCTTAGCACCTACTTTTTTGTTTGCCTGTTTTGATTTTATTTGAGCTTTTTAGCGACCAGTCAGTCAGCCTCTAGCGTTCACGCTGCGTCTCGTAGCCCGTTGATAAGGCCGGGTTCTATCCATTTCCCACAGTCTGACCCCGGCTACCGTCTCAGCCGTTTCGTGGCCTCTGACCAGCGGCAGTCGTTGCCCCGGACGAGACCGACGCTGTGATCTCCAAACGTTCCCTGTCGTTCGCACCCACGGCGCGGTCTCTGTCACGCGGACCCGGCTCGCGCCGACCGTGCGGTGACTGACATGGTCCCGCTCTGCCCCAGCTCGCACCAGCTGTCCTCCGTCGAGGCGCAGCAGATGACGCGAGTGGACTCGGACTCCGGCGAGGCACCGGCCAGGCTGCATCCAGGTGAGGGCACGGATATCACTGACTCGCGGGAGCACGCGTTACGCTCACGGGTGAGCACAACCCGCATGTGGGGACACGTTACTGCCGACCCAGGCTGCCCGTGCCAGGTCCGCTGTCGGCCGAGATTGATCGAGGCTGTGGTGTTAATGATACTTAAATCTGATATATGTGCCCGCTTTTGATCAGACTGGTCTGCTTTAAAGGTGTTCTGGCTTTTTGATTCCCTATATTTTTTTCAGCGAGTCATCATTTCTGCTGGATTTACGTACTGTGTACGGTTGATCATGCTACGAATGGGCTATTTCATGCTGCATTGGGATTTCGTCTGGCAGATTTTGCTGCTGCTACCCAGGCCTAGGAAGAATACTTAAAAGCGTTCTTGTCGGCAATAAGCAGACTTGACCGATACTGTAATCGGTCGGTATTTTCAGCCACGTCGGAAGGCGTTGTCGTAAATCAATGATGTAGGAGCGCTTCCATGAGCGCGTGGGAGTAACCAACGATCGGGGAGGGCAGATCAGTGCCGTGGAGGACGGCGCTGTTGCCACGGTTAGACCACCGCTGCGGATAAGCGGAGCGCTGAGGCTCTATAAGGGGTGTTTGGCGTGGGACACAGCCGTGAGGATGTGACCAATGGGGGAAGGGACATGGGTTAAACCTTGCTGAACCAGCACCCCCTGTATCCGACCCGAGACCACACAGTGCATACTGTACGCAGCCCGATATCTTGACGCACGCGCGAGGCCATTTTGGCGGGTGGCAGGTAGACACTGTGAGCAAAATATGACCCTTGCCTGCTAGTCTCCCAGCAATAAGTGACCGGGGAGGGCTGCGACGATCCAGCAACAGACGGCGCTCATCTGACTGGCAGGCTTTGGTCGGGGCGCTCTGACGGAGAGAGACCGGGCGTTCGCCTCCACGTCTTCACTGCTGGCGCCTCAGGATCCATGCCTGCCCCCTCGAGCGCCCCTGAAGCCGAACCCGCCCTTCCACCTCACCCCGGAGCCGTGTCTGCCTCCCAGGCCCAGCTCAAACATCTTCCCTATCAGCAGGTCCACGCCAGAGTCCAGCCCGCCCCCCAGACCCGCAGCGGATTCCGGTTCGCCCTCCAGGACTGCTCCGGATCCCTGCCGAACCACGGCGGAGCCTGGCCGCTCTCCGCGGCTCGCCGGAGAGCCCCTGCCATCCTCTTGGCCGACTCCAGAGCCCAGCCCCGCTCACAGGCTTACCCCAGAGCCGGGCCTCCTGCCCAGGGCCTCCCCGGAGGCCAGTCCACCGCCGAGGCCCTCCGCCGACCCGCCGCCGACCTGCCGACCTGCCCTCGTGCCCAGCCCGTCCCCAAGACCCGCTCCGGAGCCGAGTCAGCTGTGCCGCTCGTCCTCGGACCCGCTGCGCGGCGCGCGGTCGGTCGCCGACGCCCCGCGGCCGCCGGCGGAGGCGCGCGCGCCGCCCGAGCCGGCCCGGCCGCCGCCGGCCGCCAGCCCGGCGCCGCGCACGCCGGTGCCGGCGCCGCGGGTCTGTCGTCCCGAGACGGCATCGGAGCGGCACGCGCGCGCGCTGGCGCCGCCGCCGGAGCGCGACGCGCCCGAGCCGCCCTGGCAGCCGGCGCACGACTACCAGAACGCGCTCGTCGGCAGCAGAGGGCGTGAGTGTGTGTATCTTTTTTGGGGGGGAGGGTGGGGGGCGACAGGTGGGTCGTAATTTCGCGTTCCATCTGCCGCTATCCTGCTAGCGTGCACGCACTCATGGGTGGTTCGTCGAGCGTGCCAATATCGGCACAGTTGCGTCATCACGTGTATGGCCTGGCTCCGCGCCGCGGCGCGCCTGGCGGGGCCGGGGTGTGGGACAGTGGCGGAGCCGCCGGCGGGCCTGTTCTGACTGGGCGGTGGCGGCGCTCTGTTGCAGCCAGCCCGTGCCCGATGACTGTCGAGGCTCCACACGAGCACCACAAACCGCCGCCGCCGCCGCCGTCACCGCCGCCGCCCTCGCTCGCGGGTCCCGGGTAAGTGGTGCCGCCGCGTCGGGTGTTGGCGTTGACATGAAAGAGCATACGGACCACTTGAAGGTTGGCCACGTTATGGCTGGCTTTTGCAAAATCCTTAGCTGCTTCGGTGGCTTACAAGACAGTTCTTTGGACATCCTGTAGATGGCGTCATGTGAAAGTGTCACTTGCTGCACATCTCGGACAAGTAGATCCAGGTCAGCATCTTAAGCGCGATCAGTCAGTGGAGAAACGAAACCTCAGAGCGTCCGCGGCCGTGGTCCTATTCCAAACCGCAGTCTGCCCGGCCGTGAACCCGCCGGTAGAGCGGCGCATTTCGCTCTTGCCGCCCGCACGCAGCGGGCCGGGCGTAACGGTCGCCTCCGGGGTCGGCAGCAAGGAGGGCGGCGTGATATCGTATGAGAATCTGCGGCTGAGTCACCTGGCCAAGCTGTGCGCCGAGGGCTACTCGCAGCGGGCCGTGTTGCGGGCGCTCACCATCTCGCAGAACGACATCCAGATCGCCAGGAGCATCCTCAACGAGTACGTCAACCGCGCCTGGTGAAGGGCCGGCCTGGAGGGCGGCGCAGAGGGCGGGCGCGGCGCGGCGCGTGAGGCAGCGCGCGCGTGTCCGTCTCTGCGCGCGTGTGTGTGTGTGTGTGTGTGTGTTTGTGTGTGTATGTGACGGCGGAGGCTATTGCGGTGTGAGCGCATGGCTGTATTGGTATCAGAGAGGAGTGCTATTTTTCTGGCGCGTGGACGTGGTGGGGAGCGTGTCGCGCCCGTGTCGTCGGTGTCGACCTCCGCATCGGAGGTGTCATCGGTGCTCGTCCGCATCAGGGTGTCGTTGGTGTCATTATCTTCATCGGAGATGTCGGGCCGCGTCGGTCACTAGGTGTCATTGTCTCTCTCCCTGCGGCGATTCTGCGCATCAATCCGCGGTGTTGGCCGCATGAGCGCGCCGTGTGACCCGGACGACGCGTCAACAAAACTGGCGGGCTGTGGGGGCGCGTCCGTCGGCTGGCCGGGCCGGGCGACCGCGCCGGGCCCCTCTGTCGGTGCTGACCGCGCAGGGACCCCTGAGGCGCGCCGCTGCCCGGGGACCGGGCGCTGTCGCCTGCGCAGGCTGTGCAATACCGGCGCCCGCCGACGGAGCGGGCAGCCGGGCGCGATCCCCGCTCCCGCCGGTCCGCCGCGCCGCCGATCGCTGCGTGCGTGACGGTCCCGTCTCTTCCGCTGGTGTTCTCAGACGCTCTGTTGGCTGTTGGGAGCGAGCACAAATGCCATATCCGTTGTTACCTATTCCGCTGTGGGATATTTTATCGCTGTCGCGCGAGTGCGCGTGCCGGCGTCCGGGCGCGGACCACGTTTTGCTCGGACGCGACGTGTTGGCCGCGGCGGAGCGTTCATCCTCCTGCCGGCCAGGGTGGGGCCGGGCCGGGCTGGGTCAGGGGACTGCGGTAGTGTCCGCTGTCGCTCCGCCGTCGTCCAGCCGTCGGAGTCTGCGTGGGGTGCTCTTGCGAACGTCTGTGTGATGTGACCGACCCTGCGGGACCCGACCCTTCCCGGGACCTGTCTCCTGGTTTTCTGGCGAGCTCGCCTGCGGCGGTGGGATGCGCGGGCTGGACGGTAGTGCTGCGCGACGCCCCGTGGGATGCGATGGTGGGCCGCGGTCGGCACAGCTGCGCGCCGCGCCTGATCTGACCTGACCTGACCTGAGCCGGGCCGGGCTTTGAACTCCCTGCCGTGGGAGAAGCGTCCACCGGGGCGGGGCGGGACGCAGCCGGCCGCGTGCCGGCCTCAGCAGACCCGCCCCACCACCGGGGCCGGGCGGGACGCGGGCGGCCGCGTGCCGGCCTCAGCAGACCCGCCCCACCACCGGGGCGGGGCGGGACGCAGCCGGCCGCGTGCCGGTCTCAGCAGACGCGCCCCACCACCGGGGCGGCGCGTGGGACGCGCCGCCGCACGGTGTGGCGGAGCTGGTAACTGGCCGGCTCGTGTGGTGTGAGCGGCGCGCCGGGTCGGGACTTCTCAGTGATACGTGGGAGGATGCAGGTGCAAGGTGAGCACGTGAGAGCGTTTGCTCGGCTGTTTTTGTGGAGAGCTTATTGGGTGCAACGCCACTCATTGGACATTTTGGCTCCAATTTGAATGTTACCTCGCCGTTCCTGTATAAGAATATATTATTTAGTCTGGACGAACCCTTTTCACGAATGCCGAAGAGATCTTACAGCGGTTTCAGCCTGATTATCTGCACGGAGAGGCGGCGTCGGCACCGGGAGCGTTGCTATCCGCCACGTGACATTGACTCTTGCGTGAGTGACGCAAAATGTACGTCAGTTGTTACCTGGGAGACTCGTCATTCATGGATTACACGGACCCTTGTCCGTGTTAAGCTTTTCTGCACGGTAAGGTTATTTAACTTTTCCTCTGATGAGGGAAAGAGGGAGTGGATGCAAGCCCAATGGCATCGGTTTTTTAGGATACCGCTTCGGCATGTTGTGCAGCATCGTCCGAATTCTCAGTAGCCTACGGCCCTCCATTGCGTGCATTTAGTCACCAAGGGCGTGTAACTAGGTTGGTTTCGGAGCTGTGACTATTTGTTTAGGAGCGCTGCACGACGATCTACAGCCCAGGAGGGAGGGCGGGCGGCAGCCGACAATGCCGCGGATTGTACGCGGCATCGTCGGCCGACGTTTTTATATTAATGGCCCCATATATCATAAATGTATGCTCAAAGCACAAAAACATGTGCCCTTAGACTCAGAACTGAACATTGAACACTTCTGTTTGTGTTTTGTATCGCCTCAAGTCATGATCTCGTAGGACTGATGTAAGGCCGAAAAGCATGATTTTCTTCCAAATTGGACGTCTGACCTGCCTTTATGAAGTCAATTATTGACTTCATAAAGGCAGGTACCGATCGCGAGATGTCATTGAGGCCAACCCGCCGATGTTTTCTGCCAGGCTCTATATTAGTTTGGAAACGCCAGAGATGTCGCCCCCCCCCCCCCCAATCAGTCGCCCCTATTACGAAAAACGGTGGGTCAGCGCTGATGTACCGATGCTAGCCAATCTGACGTCCCCTGTGAGTGGTAATCCTCAACTTAGCGGAGCTGGAGCTGCAAGATACTTTTAACCCAACGTCAATCATAGACATTTAGTGCCGTATCATAGACATTTAGTACAACGGCTAATAGCAACAGCTTCCGTAGTACCCTGGTTATCGGTTACATACCGGTATAAGAAATGCGTCTTTCGAAATGCGTCTCAGCGTCCTTGAGCGTCTGGGCCTGTGCAAAACTTGATCCCCCTGCACGTCCGAGAAGCTTCTCATCGTTAAATGTCAACACCTGCCCGTCGTCACGCGCACTGTGACCGACACCAGTGTCGCATGGGCGCGAACGGATGCCGGGTCGTTAAGCCACCACGAACGTTGAAACCGTCGTTTGTGGAGCCGACTGACCCGTTCAGTGCACCTTTCGTGGCAATCCGCGCAATCGTTTGCGTTTGCTGCTGCTGGCTCCACTGCGCGAAGAAGTGACGCGTCGGCGCCTGCAGCGCCATTAGCAGCGACGCAATCTTAACTCGCGTCCCAGCTGTGTGAGATGGGTCTCATTTAACATGCTTGAGCTGTTCAGCATTTATGGTTTACTCGGACCCAATGCTCGTTAAGCAGTTCCACGTCTCCGGACATAAGATACATGTGAACTTAATCTTAGTGAACCGGCCGTCTCCTGCAAGAAGCGATGCTAAATTCATCGTTCCTGGGACCTCGTCACAGGAACGTCGTGATGCCTCCGATTAACACCTGCACTTGAACGGAACGTCGTGATGTCCCCGACGGCTTCCCCTTCGCTCAACCGGTTTCGCCTTCACATTCAAAGTGTCTTTTTCCTATATCTTTTTTTAGAACTTTTTCGTCTTAGATCGCCACAAAGGTGAGCATGTCACGTGTGCAAATTTCGGTTTCGTTTGTGCAGCCGTCCGTGCCGTTTTCAGAGGTATGCTTGGAATTAGCAAAACAGCTTATGAATTACCGAAGGAATGAATAAAATGAATTGGCGAATGAGTGTTGTGAAATGATTATATGATTGAATTGCGAATCAGTTGAATGGATAATTTTGGAAGAGATCACGTCCGATTTGCAATCGTCACGTTTAGTAATATGACACATCGTGTGCTTTCATGTTAACAGTATGCTGGCCTTTCCTCTTTGTCGTCTCTCCTCTTTTGATTTTCGTGCGCGGCGTGCGTAATTTGATAAAGACAATCGACATGACTGCCCTGGCGTGCCGAAAACAGTGTTATTTCGCGCCGCTCGTCCGCCACGGTCCGCCACGGCTCGGCCGCAGGACGCTTTTTGCCAGCCTTTGGCGGCGGCAGCGGCGGACTTCGGCTGGTGCGACCCCTCGGCCCAACGGTTCGGCTCCATCAGCGCGAGGTGTGACCCCATGACGGAAGACGGCTCGTCTAGACGATATCGCCGCCTAAAGCTGGGCACTTGGATGGCGCGAGATTTCCTCGCTTTGGTCCTCATCGGCGGTTACTGCGATCGCAGATCCGGCCGGCGGGCCGATGGATCCAAACTGCTGATGTGCGTTGCGGACCACGGGGTCACGAGCTGGATGGCGAGCAGATCACGGGCTGATGGGCTGCTGTCCCAGGCACAGCTAGCCGTTACACATAGCCGGTAGCCGGTTCCATGGAGCGTTGACATACGCATCAAGTTTGTGCAAGATTATATTCCAAAACGTCACCAGGATGACGCCGGCGCATTGCCTCTGGGCTGCAACCTGGAAGGCTGGTAAGGGATTGTTTATTGAATACATTCGCAAGATATAATCCCCGTTGAAAGCCATGCATAGCCCCAGGCTCTGACCACGGTCGTCGTTTAATTCACTGGGGAGCGCTCTGTGCAACTCGATGCAGTCGTAACTCCAACACAACAACACCAGTGTGACAGCAGCGGCCGCACGCGGCGGCGGCGCTGGCCATCGGCTCGCCGGAAGAGACTGCAGGGCTGGCCGGGAACTGCGCGGCTCGGCAGCGACCGCTTCACGCACGGCTAGGGTGGAGGCCACGTGTGCGGCCATGGTACAGAGTGAGCTAACTAGCTAAGCGCTGTCGGGGCGGGACGGACCGCCTAGGCGGACCAGGCGGGCAGGGAATCATCAGCGGGTGCGGAGAGCGAGCGGGTCAACAGACGGCAGCAGTCACCTCTCGGTCTACATTCACATGACCTGACCTGCCTGCTAGAGCGAATTTGACCGTCGCTTTGCCCTCCTCATTGCTTGTCGCTTGTCGTCCGTCTGAGCGCCGGAACAAGCGACTCACGATCACCCGGACAGACCCTGGAAGGACACTCTAGCGCGCAACACGGATCTGAATGCAGCTCTTGCAACGAGCGCGGTTGTAACACTGACGACAGGCGTCTCGTGCTTCGCCGTACAGGCACGGGACGTTCTGCACGTCGTCTGGACGCGGCTTGTCAAACAACAGCGTAGCTGCAAACCGACGGGCGACACGCGACACGCTGACCATTCGCCGGTGTGCACAGCCTATCCCCCCCCCCCCCCCCTGCACGACCCTCCTCCCCGCGCTACACGGACCGTCTTCCCCGCGCTACACCGACGTCTCGCTATTGAGCCGTAGCACGAACTTGTTGCTCTTGGGGTCGATGATCTCCTCGGCGAGGCTGAAGTGCGGCAGCTGGAGCACGGAGCACAGGAGCGACACGTCGTGCCGTCGCAGCTGGAACACCACGCCCTCGGCGGCCCGCGCGGTACGCCGACGCGACGCTCACGAGCGTCCAGTTCTGCTCGCCCGCGCCGCCGCTGGGCAGCGCTGGCGCCGCCGCCAGGTAGCGCTCGAGGAAGGCGCGCGGCGACATGTCGTGCGCCAGACACTGCGCCAGGTGCGCCAGGACGGCCTCGACGCTGGGGCGCGGCTGCTGGCGCGTGGCGCGCAGATACCGCTGCAGGGAGCGCGCGATGGTGGGGAAGATGGCCTGCGCCGCCTCGTACGGCTCCATCGGCGCGGCCGGGCCTGGCGGCGGACGCAGGGAGGGACACGTTGGCACTAGCAAGGAACGGCAGTCATCGTCCATCAGTCTCCCATTCTTTCGTGACTGACACGTGACCTTTGTAGTGCATTGCGGCACGCGGCGAACTGATCTATGTAGTCGACATGGTCTGCATGGGCACGACGGTGGCCCAGGTCATGTCAACCGGCTGACGCAAGACCAGTGGGCGGGCGTGCATGGCCTCGCGCTCCCGACCGGACGTCGCGCCAAACCCGCCGAGTAAGCGTGACATCTGAGTCACAGCTGGAGAGGACAGACCGTGGACAAACGGACAGACCATGCGGGTAAACCTCCTCGACATGGGCAAGGCACGTCCTGTCCCACCTTGTCCGTCCTTGAGCCGTGTGATGTGCGTGAAGGCCTCCTCGGCGGCCGTCATCAGACGAGCGCGTCGCCGCCGCACGCGGCGCTCCTGCTCGTGCTGTTCGCGGTAGCGCTCGTTATGAGAACCCTCCCGGCGCCGGCTGCTGGGAGTGTCCTGAGGCGGGGTCTGGAATGGCGCACAGGTCGGGTCAGGTGTGGACCGGAGCGAAGGGCCGTCGGCCGGGCACTGGCAGAAGCAACTACACAGTCGGATGATGTTTACCCGTGCAGAAACGCTATAGGGATAGTCGCTGACTGAAGCATGAAGTAGCAACCAGTCTCCCTTCAACAAGTATTGACAATGATGCCAGTATCCACCAAAATGCAAGTAGCGCTCTATACACAATTTTTCTATCCGTCCAGTAAATAAACGCCGGGAATGCGGCACGCCAAGAGCCAGCAAACACCGAACAAAAGGGTTGAGCCTGTTGAGAAGAACGACCGGTTTTTCCGGCCGATGATCACTGAGGGCGCTCTGCCGGCGGCCGGCGGTGACGCAGCGCGATCTTCCGTTCTGCATACCAGAACTGACTCATTCCTACGCGGAGGACAAGTCCAGCTCGGCACGCAGGCCGTCCCATTCGGGGTCATAATGTATGCCTCGTCGCTGCCGGGCACGGCGAGAAACGCTGGAATTGCGTCACAGGGACGGGTCGCAGGCTCGCATGCCTCGCTCCTGCCAACACGCTGGGCTCTGGCGGAAACGCGGCAATGGCCCCGCGGGTATCGCCAGCAGAGCACAGCCGAAGGCTGGCATCGCAGGCATTCAGGTGTGTATCGGCCCGATGTGTGGAGAGGAACAGGCGACCAGGCCAGGTGTCTGAGGCCCCTCAAGCACTCACTGCGGGCTGCGTGTGCAGTAGGAACATAGACATATTCGTACTCAACAAGCTATATCACATACATTACGTATATCATGATCAGTTACATCACATATGTCGGGTATATCATGCTCAATGGTATCACGTAGATCATACATAACATGTTAATTTATGTCGTATATGCACACTCTTCGTGATCACTGGCATCACATTGCACGTAGTTTATATTACACCATTCTTAACATACAATATGTAATTATCCACATGCTGTGCTTCCCAGACACGTGTCCACCACAATGGCGTCCACGCACAGCGTTCACATGTTCGGATAATGTAGCGCGCCGCGGCCGGCGGCACGTTGGGTGTCCGCCGCCACGAGGGGCGGTGACCGCTGGTCACGTGCTCCCCACCGCGGACCGCACTCCAGGCCACGTGACCGCGGGCCGTCGCGGCGGCTCCTCCACAGCCGTCCCGGCGACGCGGGCTGTCGCGGCGGCTCCTCCACAGCCGTCCCGGCGGCGCGGGCTGTCGCGGTGGCTCCTCCACAGCCGTCCCGGCGGCGCAGGCCGTCGGCTCGCGGCGAGCAGCTGCGGTCACCGAGCGGAACCGCGCTCGCACGGGTACCCACCAGGCGCACGCTAAGCAGGGAAGTGGTCGTTGCGGACGGAGCAAGCAGGCCGCTAAGTGGACACTCGGTGGTAGTTATGGAGCATCTGTGAGATGGCTGGCGACCATAGCAATCGGACGGGCACGTCACCCCGCCATATGCGCAGCGAGTGGCCGCCATGCCTCGCAGCTCTGGCGCAGAGAACTACGGTGGACACATTGGACACCCCTCAAGCCAACCAGGCCTGACGCAGCGAACGTGCCGTCAAACAGCATCGCACTGTCGAGTGTGAGAAACTGGACTTGACACAGGCACAGCGGCATTCAGCAGCCTAAACTAAACTAAACTAAACAGCAGACAGTGCACACTCGTGACCAGCAACTTGGCGAGGACAAATCGGCTAAGGCACCTAACGAATTCGCGCTAACACACCATTCAACTATGCGCATTGAATTAGACCCGACACATTGCACATCCGTACACAGCATGCTAGAGCCATCACACCATGATCGTTACACAGAGAGTCAAGTCACATGGCGGGGCGGGGGGGGGGGGGGACCGGGGTTGTACAGCGAGCGGGAACTGACAAACGAGAACCAATGCATCACAGAGCCGGGTGTAGTGGTCACGAGCGTCTCCCAAACAAGAATCGCTTGTGTTTTCCACATGTCCGGGAGATTTCATATATGCCATAATTCATGCTTGCAGTAGTAATCGCCCGACGGATCCACCACTGGCGAACTATTTCGACCCACGTTTTGATCCGTTGCCTTCGGTATGCATTATTCCCGCCCCTCATTCGAAGACCGCTTCCTTGCTTGACAACAGAACATGACCCATTATCACACTACCTTTGACGGAGAGCGTTATCGAACTGATGAGGATTTATGCTATGGAGCATTATCAAGGCTGCACTCGTGTTGTCTGTACATCTACCTGTCATCCGCGAAGCGATTTGTGCTGTACACGGGGATAGGAAATGAGGACACATACACACGCAGATGCACGGATTAATAGGTCAGGCTTAGCTATTTAGAAGAGCCGACATATCACATAGCTGCACCTGTTTGTGTTAAACAAGGGCCGCCGCACGACCGTAACCATATACAGCAGGCATTAGCCGACAAACTATATAGTCGTATACTGCGAACCAGAGTTGACCAGTCGCATTGTATGCACCCGGTGGTTGAAGACATACAGATATATGTCGTGAATCGGAGTCGACCAGTCGCGTCGTATGCGCTCGGTGGTTGAAGACACATCATACAGTTATATGTCGTGAATCGGAGTCGACCAGTCGCGTCGTATGCGCCCGGTGGTTGAAGACACGTCATACAGTTATATGCCGTGAATCGGAGTCGACCAATCGCGTAGTATGCACCCAGTGGTTGAAGACACATCATACAGTTATATGCCGTGGACCGGAGTCGACCAATCGCTTCGTATACACCCGGTAGTTGAAGACACGTCATACAGTTATATGCCTTCAATGGGAGTCGACCAATCGCGTAGTATGCAAGCGGTGGACGAGAGCTGACGCATCATGCGGTTGGATTAAGCAAATCATGGCCATCACGTTACTCAGCAGAATGCAGGAAACTAGAACCGCCGCGCGTCCAGGAAACCAAACGTGCTCGGTTTGATTCCCCGCAGTGTCCGCGTTTCTGGCCAGGTGAGAGCCCATAGCCATATAGTCTCAGCATCTGAGTGTGTCGTAAAGCACCAATGGCAACAACAAACTAGAGCCGACGCGTCACGCAATTGTATGCTGCAACCTAGACAATAGACATCGTACGTCCGCTCGCAGCAAATTGGAGGAGACACATTGCACAGTTGCATGCAGCGGCCTTGTACAGAACATCGCACGACCGCCCGCGCAGAGGGACAGCGTAGAAGTGCCATGACCGTGCCCTGTAGACATGTGGGTGCCTAGGTAATGTCTCGTGTATTTAAATTAATGATGCGCACATAAGTGCGATTGAAAAAGGACACCAAATCTCAAATATTAAAGCAGCGAATTTCCAAAATCGGAGAGCTCACAAACTGTTTAACGACACCAACTCAGTTTTCCGAAACCCCAATCAAATAAAGTAAAGCAAAGCTATCATCTGGAGCCTGACGCAGGAAGCCATTTGCATGTGCGCAGCGCTGGGGACGTTGTATGCGATGAACTGGTTGGAAGTGGGATGTCTGAGACACACTCTAAGTGAACAATAAACGTCAAATGACCCGGGTTTGTGTCGTAAAAATCGCATTACGAAAATGCATGGGTGGAAGATGCTTAAACACTGTTGTCAAGTCAGCGATTAGGGGTAATCGCCGCTAAAGCAATCCATAGAATTCCATAATGACCCCAAATGAGCCATCCGCAGGGCCCGGGGTCGTGATGAACGGCCGCCCGAGCGTTGCAGCGACCCCGGCGCGCGTCTCCCTCCGGCGGCCAGCTGCCCTGCGCAGGAGGGAAGCCAGCACGCGCCGGCTGGGGGCGGCGGGGCGCGCTCAGTACGGGGCGGCCACAGTCACAGCAGGCCAGCGAACGAGCATAGGAGGAATCGTGGTTCTGAAGCATCGGACCGTGATTGATGCGTGTGGCACCGTACGGCAAAGTGACACAGGACACCTCTCCTTCTGATCCATTCTGTCTGTAGCCCCACCGCTGCCCTCGGTAACGTATGGTCTCCGAGGCCAGCGTGACAGGATGGAGCAGCTCGGTCCTACAGCAGCCTCACCTGCACGGCTGAGCCGGCCGCCGAACCGTCCACGTCATAGTACTTGTAATGCGTGACGCTGCCCTTGCGGGACGACCCGCCCGGCAGCCGCTCCAGCTGCGGGGTGCACTCTGGGAAGTCGGCCTGGTACCGCTCCAGCACGTGCGCAGCCGCCTGCTGGATGCTCAGCCGGCCCGAGCGCGTACAGCCGCGACTGGCCGTCGGGGCTGCGCACCACGCGCACGGCGTAGCGAGGCTGCGCGTGCCGCAGTTCCAGCAGCAGCACCGCCAGGTAGTGTACCCAGAGCAGCGCATCCACCAGCCCACCGGCCAGCAGAAGTACAGTGTAGTAGCGGATCTCCGTTCGCTCACTCAGCACGCGCACGATGAAGAAGACCCAGAAGCCGGCGGTGAAGAGGAACGCCAGCACGAGCGTGGCGACGCGGAAGGTGAAGACGCGCGGCAGGCTGGCGCGCGGCCGCCGCAGGAAAAGCGCCCACGAGCCGGCCAGCAGGATGGCCAGCCGGAAGGCGAGGGAGACGAGCGTGCCGTCGCACTCGGCGCCGCACTGCAGCTGCTCCGGCGTCAGCTCCAGCAGCTGCGTCCGCGGCAGGATCACCAGCACCACGGGCGAGAGCACGGCGAAGAGCGCCACGCCGGCGGCGGCGGCCGCAGCCAGCCGGCGTCGCCGCCGCAGACCGGGGGAGGGCGCGTCGGCCGCCGCGGCAACGCCCAGGTCCGGCAGCGAGGTGGACACGTCCGAGGCGGTGCCGCTGGCGGTGCCGGCCGGCCTGCCGTCGCCCCAGCTGTCCTGTGGCATGATCTGCACCTCCAGCACGTCCCGCGGCGGCGGCGACGGTGGCAGCCCGGTCGACGCGGCCATTGCGGTGGAGACTGAAGAGGCGGCTGCTTCGAAGGGCTCGTCCAGTCGGGTCCTGTGCGAACGGAGGGCTGGGTCACGTAGGTGCGACACCAACGTGTGAATACGACGCAGCATGTGAATTTGGCAATTCCTTAACTACCCTGTTGTTACAGATCTCATCACCATTGTGCCATGCGACCAGGGCGGCGCGAAGCTATAGCTAGAATGACCGCTGTACCCAAGAAGCAATACAAAGGAGTGCCGAGCATGCCATCGTGTAATCGTGGCCCATAAAAGCTGGGAAAATGCGCGAAGTCATTCACCCCGTCATTCCCGGGTATACGGAGGTCACGTGAATTCTCACAATACGTCATAAGGTGTGATGCACAGCTTCGGCTATAGCAAGGGTGCTGTGAACAGTCCGTCCGCCTATGGCATGTTATGATAAGGCGAGTGTTAACTCAGAGGAGGCGCACCGGCGCTCTACCAGAAACGCTTCCCTGCGCGGTATGCGTTAAGAAGCTGGAGATCCTTCATTGTATCTGATCTTGACGAGTTTGACAGAACAATGTTGTAGTCAGGAACCCCACGCTGGTTGCAAGAGAATAGATTGCACAACCCGCGCTCTCCACAAAAAAGCCACCTGCAAACGTGGGCGTGCGGGGAGGAGATTCCGAAATCCAAAAGTCGATATCGGCCGCGCGCGGGCACCAGTCAGGATGAGTGGGCACCGGCTTAGACCCGGCAAACTCTGCCTCATATCGGTGCTGTTACTAGGTTTCAGTGTACACGATAGACATGATCAGCCACTGGCAAGGTGCCGGCTTTGGAACTGCATGCATCACTGCACAACCGCCTGTCAGTGTACAAGGCTTCAGCGTCGGCTGCCGGGCCTGTGGTCCCAAAATCCTGCACCTCTAACGAGGACCCCCACGGCGGGCGCGACCCACCGGTGCGTATGGCGAGTGCGCCGGTGGGAGGCGCGGTGGGACGGTTTGGCGTCGGCCCGGCTCGGCTCCGGCTCCGAGGAGGCGCCGTAGCGGGCGGAGCCGCGCGTGGGCTCCATCCGGCTCCGGGCGCCGCTCTCAGCGTGCAGAATGCCCAGCATTCAGACGGCGCTCGCCGCCGCCTGCCGCAGACGAAGGGGGGGTCAGTCGGACCGGGCGTGTCACGTGCGCCGGACACGTTCACGAGCGGCGGACATAGAATATCAACTAGACACAACACTCGTCTATCAGAGGCCAATCCGGGTTTTCAATGTTATTTGTGCAAGACATCGCCTACACATACCTTCCAGTGCAAATGATCTCACAATTTAAACACAACAGCACACAATACTTGCAAGCATTTTTCATAAACTGCCCGACATCACGAAAGGCAGAGACGCATAACATAATACATGCGTCCGCCAGCAACACTAAAAACGCACAGGAATTCACATTTGGCGGTCGCTGTTGGACCAGCGGTTGGACCGGCATGCGACATTAGGCGACCGAGTTGATTACAAACCGAGTCAGTTGTCTCAGAAGAAGGTCTGTTGTCAGTACATGGATCATATCAAAACCCGGTTGAAACAAACCAAAAGGATTTAGGAAATTGTCCAAATGTGTTCTGTTGGTGGATTTGACACGTTCACCTTTCATCGGAATTCGGCACCCAAGGGGGTTCGCTGTCCAGCAGATGACCACACGTTGACCCAGCGAGAGGCCGGGGGAGCTCCACCAATGAGCTCCCTTGAGAGCTCCTGAGCGGTCAGGTGAGGTCACGAGGTCAGCTCTGATTTCATTGGTCCCGCAGTGTTTGGCTCATCGGCGATGTGGTGGCCCCGTGTGCGGACCCACTGCCAACGGCCCGCGCCTAGCATAAGCAGGCCGTTTCTTTACAAACGGCCACGCGGACACCATTGCACGAAGCACTGGCGTCTAGGGGGCGGGACACTGTGAGATTCGGACCCGGTTCGTTTTGTGAGCAAGCGGCCCGAGCGAGAGGCACGGCATCACCCTCGATCTAGATTGCGCGCGTCACCGCTACACGCGTCCCCGCAACGTGCCCACGGCGGCGGCCGACCACAGCGGCACTTGCAGGGCCCGCCATAACCTGCTCATCCGTGACGGGCCAGCCTCGTGACGCTGGCCTCGTCGCTACAGTGCGTACGCGTGACCAGTGCGGAGCGCTGGCGGCGTGCGCTACCCGGGGCCGTCCGCAGTGGGTCGGCATGCTCGTCGGCCCGTGTACCGCCGGTGGGTGGAGCGCCGCCTTGTCGGCGATGGTTTGCGTCTGGCACGCCTGCGCCACAGTGGTCACGATGAGCACCGCTCTGGCCTGCGCTGGGTCATCATGGGGCTGCTTATCCGACGCGCAACGCTCTTGCGCTCATTCGCAAATCACACCGAGAATGGGCCGGCAGTTCCAGCTAACTAGACAGAGAAAGTTGGTATTCGTCGTTTTCAGTGACCGTGACAAAACTATTGCGCAAAAAAACGCATATATTGTGTGCAGATAATAGTCTCAGAGTCCTTGTCTAAGCGTCTGTATTGGTTGCATGGTTCCATCCCTCTCGACTTTAGACAAAGCAGGGTGCATTCGAGACCGGTTTTGGAACATCTGAACATGGATTGCAGCCCGTTCGATTCGATCACCGGGAAGCCCCTGGATCAGAGCGTGTTGGGATCGCCCAGCAGTTTGCGTCCTGCACATTCGCCTAACATGTGCAGGCAGTTTCACGTCTTTATGAGCTCTAGTTGCCGAGCTATGACATCCTTAAAACCCCCACAAATGACAAACTACAAGACGTCTGCGCGTCTGCCCATTGACCAGTACTTTTGTCAGCACCAATGTTCTTCCCCTCCTGCGTTGAACGCTGCCAGTCTTATGCTGCTGTTACGCCGTGTCGTGGTCTGTGCACGGTTTTGACCACTGCGGAGCAGCATTTTCGCAATGAGCAAATTTTACGTCAGGCATGGTAAATGAATGGGGAAGGCCACATTTTATCCACAGTGCAATGTGGTAGGCGGACCTCAGCCTATCACAAACGCTCATGTACTTAAGATATGGAGAATTTAGCTTAATGGCTTCTCTGCTCGAGTTAAAAGAGTTCTGGCTGTTGAAGCAATGCTTGCTCGGCTTTCGACCTCATTCGTAATGCTGGATGACATTCCTCGGCCGGTTTGAAGGACTCACTCGGCCTGCAACCCCGCCCGTATTGAATGATGCTGAGGTTCCTTCACCGATTCGCAAAGATCTTTCTGCGCTCCTGGACTGGGCTAACAGGGTAAAAACATGTTACTAATGTGGACCTCCTGGGCTGTACCACCAGGCTTGCATACAGAGATGCGTGCGTTATCACTCCAGCGGGACGCTTTGATAGAAGCGTCACGGGACGTACCGCTCGCGTCGTTTCTGGACTGCACCGTCCAGCGCACCATCTTCTGCGGGAGGGGCGACGCCGAGTGGTCCAACGTCAGGCACCGACGCGCGTCGAACGGGGAGCCAAGAGGTCATGCTTCCCACCCCCTCTCACCTTTCTTCATGAGTATAGTAATAACCCAAACGATGCTGCACAGGAAGAATTTAGATAACGCAAACGGTCTCCCCTCCCTCCTCCTCCCTCACTTCCTTGGACGCTCCTTTGATATGGACCAAGACCAATGCGTACAAAAAAAAACGAGAAAAAACAGGAAGAAAATATTCAGCCAATGCACGCGAGAACTACGGAAGGCCGTGGTTCACGAAGACCAGCCCCCAGACGTACCATTCCATGGGGTCCCTCAGGCCAGCGAGCATGGCCACTCCCAGAGCCGCACAGATTAGCCGCCTTAGAAGTCGCCAGTGGCCAGCCTGGCCGAATAAAGCAGCTTACGGAGGCGGCGCGGCCCCGGTCTCCGCTGAGCCGCTTCATTTCGACATCAGAGTCGATCCGCCGACCAGCGGGCCGGCACCGCGGGCACTCCACAGCAGAGGCTTTAACCACACGACCAGCGGGCCGGCACCGTGGGCACTCCACAGCAGAGGCTTTAACCACACGACCAGCGGGCCGGCACCGCGGGCACTCCACAGCAGAGGCTTTAAACCACCGACCAGCGGGCCGGCACCGCGCGCACTCCACAGGAGGGGCTTTAACCACTGACCAGCGGGCCGGCACCGCGGGCACTTCACAGCAGAGGCTTTAACCACATGACCATAGAAGGGCAAGTGGAATTGGGAGGCGCCCGGAGTGTGCATGCCTTTGATGGAGATGCTGGGTGGGCGCTGCTCGGCAGCATATTAATCCACTTCTGCTTTGTGAGGTCTGTGCTTAATCCAGTCGGCCTTCAGGAAACCGGGAGGTGCTGTTTGAAACCAATGGGTCGAAATTGTCCCAAACATGATACCGCGAACGATCAGACATGATAGGGGACTATTGTAGTGCCAAAAATGTGAAGCGTGCCTGATCGCTTGAGATCAAGAAGCACAT